GTATGAGGGCTATCACAGTAGCCTAATACATTGATTGATGGATTGATTACATGAAGCTCATTTAATCCTTAAAATGCCCATATGAGGTAGATACTATTTTTCTTGCTTTGTTACAGATGAATAAATTGCCATTTGGAGATGGCAATGAATTTGCCTAATTTCATGTTATTGAAATGAGTAAAACTGAGATATGGACTCAGATTCTCATGTCCACAGGGCGTGCTGTGTAGGGAGCCTTGTAACCCAGGGGAGTCACAACACACAGGCTTCTGTGTTGAGTCAGTTCGAGAGCAAGGTCTTACTATAGCTATGGTAATCCAATTTCCTTGGGAACGTGCTGAGTAAAATAATGGTGTCCCGTGCCCTCTTCTGGATTCTCTCCCAAGCAGATCATGCCTATTTTGTGACTATAAAAGACTACCTGGATTTTGAAAACATCACATTTACAATTCCAAACTTCAATCATTTCTAGAGATATAAATTGTACTCACTGTAGTAGTTCGCTGGGGGGCTGTTGTAACAAAGTACTGCAGACTTAGTGGCTTATACAACAGAAGGTTATTTCTCGCAGTTCTGGAGGCTAGAGATCAGGGTGGCCTCTGGGGGCTGTGAAGGAGAATCTGTTCCATGGCTCTTACTGATTTGTTGGCAGTCTTTGGCATTGCTTGGTTTATAGACCCATTGCCCTGATCTCTGCCTTCAGGGTCACAGGGCCTCTGTCCAAATGTGCCTCTTTTTATAAGGACACCTGTCATGTTAGACTTAGGCACCCACCCTACTCCATTATGAGCTCATCTTAACTAATTATATTTCCAATCCAAGTAAAGTCACTTTCTAAAGTACTGGGGATTAGGAATTCAACGTATGAATTTTGAGGGACACAATTCCACATATAACATTCACCATGTATCATATGGAGAGAGCAGAACTGGTACACAATTCATAACCGAGCAAGGCCAGTCACCCTGTATGTGCCTGTCCTGAGTGACCAGGGAGCCCGAGCAAGGGAAGGGCAGATTCCTTGCCCGTGTAGAAGCCGTCATTAGAAAATAGTGCACATGTGGTGAAGGAAGATAAATACTGCCATGATAATGGTAAAGGACTTGGGGATGAAGAGCCTTTTTTGAATATGAAATCACGGGTCAAATCCCAGCTATGACAGTTATCTCAGACTATTGCTTGAGGAAGCCATTGGCTGTGATCAGCTCTTTGCATTTAAATGTGTGTGTTGAAATATGTATTATTTATATATGTATATGTTGTAGAGCTATATTGTAGATATACAATAGATATTTGAAGGTGTATATATATGTTCACATATATTTTTATATGGGATTTCTTCATGCTTCTTGAATATGCCTTCATCTGTAATTGCTGTACTTTTACTGTGATGGCATTTGGTCAGATACACTTTTATTTTGCTATCTTGTGGTTGCAACATGTAAATTCTTGACTATGAGCAGCATTTTTAGTTGTCTACAAGGTTTTAAGAGAAATTCATGAGTCAGAATAAGAAATCCCTGAATTATAGAGTCCGTGTGTAATTTAACAACAGCTTTTGGAATTCATGTGGATTTGGGGTGGGTGGATGGCTGGTTGGACATGGTTAGAGCTTTTCAGAGTTGGTTTTGTTTTGTTTTGTTTGTTTGTAGCCTCAAAGCCTCTTTCTTGGCTTGTAAGGTATGGAGGTTATTCATAAAGTAGTATCTTTCCTCCTAACTACCATAGGCTAGGGAGATCATTTTTAAAAAACAAATGTTTTATTTTAGATGGTGTTAGATTTACAGCAAAGTTAGCACAGAGAGTTCCTGTAGACCTGTATCTAGCTTTACCCCCTCCATTCCTGTGGCCTCTGTGTCACAACTAAGGAACCAATATTAGTACATTAGTATTAACTGAGCTCCACACTTCATTCAGATTTCACTAGCTTTTCCCTAATGCCCCTGTTCTGTTCCAGGATCTGATCCAGGATGCTAATTACATTTACTTGTCATGTCTTCTTAGGCTCCTCTGGGCTATGACAGTTTCCCAGGCATCCATTGTTTTTGATGACCTATTGATGGTTTTGAGGAGTTCTGGTAAGGTATTTTGGTAGAATGTACCTCAGATTTGGTTCATCTGCTTTTTGCCTCATGCTTAGACTGGAGTTGTGGGATTTTGAGAGGAAGATCATGAAGTTCGTTCTGACATATCAAGGCAACATACTATCAACATGACATCATTGATTACCTTCATCTTAATCTGGTTGAGGCAGTGTTTGCCAGGTTTTCCACTATAAAGTTACCCTCCTCCCTCTATGCTCTACTCTGAGGAATTTTCTCTTAGTAATTTGCTAAGTTCAGACCACATTCAAGGGATGTTGGGAATTAAACTCCAACTCCTTGAGAGGAGACTATCTAGGCATTTTTGGTTCAGTAAAGTATAACCAGTCATCTCTGCCACCTTGTCTCTGTGGTTTCTTTCTTTACTGAAGGTCTATAGATTATGAGTTCCTAGTCTAGAAAGGTTTTGCAGGGTGGTGAGGACTTTAGGGCTGCATTTTCTGACCTCAACCTTTGTCTAATATGGTATACATCTGATGTGGTCCCCTGCCCAGAACAGGGTACCTCACCGCTAAAGTGAGGTACAGGGAAGCACTAGGTAACAGGAACCCCAGGAGACCACAACTCTGAATATTTAGGATTTCTGGGTAGATAAGGTTTTATTTCTTCAAGTATCCAAAATATTTCTCAATATTTTGACCATTTCATATTGTATTCCTGAAATGTTATATAATTTAACATTTTCTTAATGGGTGTGCTAAAATGAAATTGTCCTAATTTATAAGTTTTATAGAGCTTGTTCCTCCTTCACTAAAGGTCTAGATTGTAGGACGAGTTGAGTTTTGATCTGCTTTTATTGTATATTGAAGCTTTTCTCTGTCATCTGTCATTTCTTGCTATCAGTTTGTCTTTCTCCAGCAGTTCGCTTTCTCATTTGCTGTTTATAACCATCTGTGAATTTAGGATCCAGACAACCAAACCTGAGTTAGTCAGTACAGTCTGAGCTAAAATCTGAGAGCTGGAGATCTAAGCAGGTATAAACTGTATGCTAGTGCCTGGCCACCCAACACAATTATGCAACTGCCCGGGAGTTTTATTTTGCATGCTGGCTGGTTTTCCCCTGTCATAGATTGGTGAGCTTGGCTGAGTTTCATTACTTTCATTTGAAACAGGCCGGTTGCAGGTAAACAACTTTTCTTAGTGCGCCCTAAACACATTGAGAATGACTAGGGACCCACCATTCAAATTTATAAGAAAATATATGGATTTTGAGCCTTTGTAACCAAAGTTTAATGTTTACTGAGAATTTAAAATACATAGACATAAAGAGTGATCCTTTTAAAAATGGTCTCTTAAGTGCTCGTATACATATTGTATTCACTGCTTTTGAAAAATGACCAAAATGGAGGCATTAATACTTGCATTAAAAATTTAGGTAAGGAAGCAGCCAAAGATAGAATATATTAAGATGTTTGAATATTTATTTTAATTAAAAGTAGGTAAACAAAGTGTTCAATCCCATAGAATATATAATTTAAGATGCTTGAATATTTATTTTAATTATACTTTATTAGCAAAGTAGGAAACCTTACACATAGTGTTCGAAATACAGGTGGCGCTCGCTCTCACGTGAACTTGGCGTTGGATCGCACATGGTTAATCAGTGCACATGTGTGGAGGTAACACCAGAGGCAGATTAAAGTGCCAGAGTCCCTCAGACCAGGACGTAGATGAATAAAGTGAAAACTGATTAGAGCGGTCATACTATTAAGGATAAACGATTTCTTTTAATGATTCACTGAATTCCTGTCGTAACTATTTTCTGAGGGTATGCTGTGTGCCGAGGCACTAAGGCAGTCTAGGGCCAGGTGGCGGTGAAGTCACCACCATGTAATCGGGACACAGGTCCCAGCAGAAAATTATTAGTGTCCTCTACAGAGCTCTCTGTAATTTGAAAAGGTGGAAAGAAAGGCACCATGGACTTTTAAGAACCCAGTGAGGTTAAATTCTTGTGTTCAGTAATGATTTTCACTTTTTGGTAGGTTCATATTGGGCCCAGGTTGTTGGAGTAGACCAGCTACAGCAATGTAAAGCCTGGTAACCTAATGCTCATTTCATCTTAAGCCATTGACATCCCTGATTTTGATAAATATGTTTTAAAATGCAGGCATCAGATTTATGTCTGTCTATTCAACAGTGGTGATGTGCTTGGCATCAGTCATTTCACTGCCTTTTTTGTGAATTCTGGATTTATTCTTAATAATAGCATCATAATATTTCTGTCCTGATAGGCAGTAATTCTGGATTTGTTTCTATCTGCTACTACAGGTTATTTTAAATTTCATTCTCTACTTGTAAGCAGTGCCATCATCAACTTTAAGTTTTTTACTGTCGTAACATTTGTTTTTATTGTAAAAGTAATACATGTTTTTAAATAGCATTCAGGAAATGTTTTTAAATAGCACTTGGAAAATATAAGAAAGGTGTAAAGAGAAACTATTACTAATACCCCTAACTATATAACCATCTATTATTTTCATACATTTGCTTCTACTTTTTATTCACATTTTAACATTATTGAAATACTGTTGAACTGTGCTCTGTTTTTTAAATTAACATTAGATTATAAGTATTTCTTTTTAGGCGGTACAGATTTTTTGAAAATGTATATACATATGCTATTTTAATTCACTAAGAAATGTATTGTCATGTGAATGTGTTAAATTTGTGAAATCATTTCTGTATTGTTGGTCCTGGGTTTATCGCTGATTTTCACTATTAAAAGCAGCTCAGTGAACATCTTTGTGGGTAAATTTTTTTCTGTAATTTACATAATTTGGATAATAGTTGTAGAAATTGACTTACTGGGTCAAACAGTAGGAACAGTTTTCTTCCTTTATTGACCTCCACTGAAAATAATTGTCATTGAATAATGAGTGCTAAATCATTCTTTTTTTCTTTTTTCCTCAGCTCACTACCCTGGGAAATCTTACACCTTCAAGCACTGTGTTTTTCTGCTGTGATATGCAAGAAAGGTTCAGACCAGCCATCAAATATTTTGGGGATATTATTAGTGTGGGACAAAGATTGGTATGTTTGTTTATTTTTTCCAATTTACTGAAGTATGATATACATTCATATATACACACATGTGTATTACTAATTATCTTCGTGGGGTTTTTGTTTTGTGTGTTTGTGGTGTTTTGTGTGTTTTTTTTCAGTTACAAGGGGCCCGGATTTTAGGAATTCCAGTTATTGTAACAGAACAGTACCCTAAAGGCCTTGGAAGCACTGTTCAAGAAATCGATTTAACAGGTGTAAAACTGGTACTCCCAAAGACCAAGTTTTCAATGGTGTTACCAGAAGTAGAAGCAGCATTAGCAGAGATTCCTGGAGTCAGGAGCGTTGTGTTATTTGGAGTAGAAGTAAGTACCTTCTGTTACATTTTGTATACATAATATTTGTAGAAAACTTGATTCCAGAATGCATTGTTATATATAGAATATTGTGTAGGTGGTAATCATGGTGAAAAATTGCCATGGTTTAGTAAGTGTTGACTATTTTCATGGCACTGATCTAAATATGTATTGATTCATTAAACTCTTATAGCAACCCTCTGAGCTAAGTATTCTTGGTCTTCCCATATTATAGATGAGGAAACTAAAACACAGATGCTGTGTAACTTGCCCAAGGTCATACATCTGGTTAAAGGATGGAGCTGGATTACAATCTAGGTTGATGAATTCTTGGGCCTTTACTTTTAACCACTACTTTTAGAACACATTTTCAGCAAAGGCATTATTTTTATTTGTGTTGTAGAATTTCGCCTTGGGTCATATTTTTACTCTAGAAAAACCTTAGAAGTCATGTAGTTCATTGTCATTCACGTTTGAAACGTGCATACCTTTTTAAAGGAAAAAATACTCATGGATTCCTAAGAGTGATTAAAATGATATTTGATTTGATTTGATTTGGTTTTTTGGACATGTACAAATAGAATATAAGTATTGACTAATAGCTTCTCCAACAACTATTGAGCTAAAATTTTAAGATTAGTTTAAAAACTATAAAAACAATGAAATCCAAAAAATATTAATGTGCTTATGATGTTTTGAGAGTGGGTTTTAGAGTAGTAGGTTTTTAACAGTAGAAAGATTTAGTCTCAGGTTTTGATGTACATTTAAATATCTCAATAATGACAACATAGAGGAAGCCTGTTTGTATAAATGTCACACCAAATGCTGTTGCCGACTTTTGCACTTTTTTTGCTCATTCATCATTATCAGACCTCATGCTTAATGAAGATGATCTCTGAGTAGTCCTCCAGTGCTAATTGTAATGAGCTGTCAGTTGATAATTCTCCAAAACTCTTGTCATACAAAGATAAGGTAGGCATCATGGCATGATTGAAATCTGCTTTCATTTGTTATATAATCCAGCTATTGTCAGAGCATGTTTTTTTTACTCTGTGTTTTCTGCTAATTTGTTTACAAGTTAGTACTTAGAAAGATCAGACCTATATAGTACATTTGCTGGTGACACATACTGAGTATTTTTTGCCCATGTCACAACTTATTTTTAACTTGGCCTACCTTTACTCCTGGGTGCCTTGTAACAACTCAGTTTCCCACTCCATCCTCAGCCTGCAGTACTGCAGACTCATTCTTTGTGTTAGGCACTTGGTGTGAATTCAGAAATAAACCCAACTGTAAGTGACATCAAAACTGAGTGGTAGCAGTCAGCTGTATGAAGGTCATCCAGAAGGCACAGAGGAAAATCTTTTCATTCCCACAGAGCTCTAAGAATACGCTCAGGTATCCCAGTATGAGGAATGTTGATATAATCCAGTTCCTGACTTCACAAAGTGGAAACCAGAGCCAGAGACGGTATTTATGCTCAAGGTCATCTGGCAGGTTAGAGGCAAAACTAGGTGTAGGACACGGTCGTTAGACCTGTAGTGCTCTTCTTTGTTGTGTGGTTTCACATTTGTAAAATACTTTTTGTTTGCTGCGTTATTACATATGATTTCTTACTTTCCCCCTAGACTCACGTGTGCATCCAGCAAACAGCTCTGGAGCTAGTTGGCCGAGGCGTTGAGGTTCACATCGTTGCTGATGCCACCTCGTCGAGAAGCATGATGGACAGAATGTTTGCTCTCGAGGTGATTGTCCTGCTGTAAATAAGTCATTTTCAAGTTTTCCAAATAAGAGCATTAATATTTAATAGCAATGAAAAGTTTACCTCTTAAATTTGAGCTTGGTCGGACAGGATCAGATTCATTGATTTCCAGAGCCTGGACTGTCCACCGAGCGACCTTTGAGGTCTCACCGCCGAATCCTATTTTATATCCACTGTCTCCTTAGATCTAGATTGCTAGCGATGCCAAGAGCTCCTTTATGTCTTTCGTCATAACTTTGTACAGTTTTATGCGTGAACTAAGAGGAATTCCAATAAGCTTAAGCTGAACCATTTAGAAATTTGCAAATTAAAAACAGCTCACGTAGGTTTCACTCAGCCAAGATCTAGCCAAACAGAGGGCATAGTGGGCCTAAGCCTGCTTCAGCCTCATCTGAGGTTTCCTCAGACGTGAATTTCTGGGGCTAGGAGGCGTGTCACTGACTGTGGATACCACTCACCTGCAGTGTTTCGTGGCTCTCTGACTAGAGTGTCAAGATGTGTATCGTGGAGTCAATGAATATTTTGTCAGTGTTGCATAACAGTAGTCTTACTTCACTCCTAATTCCAAGACTATTGAAAATGACCACATAATCCTTTGAAGCATTCATGCCATATTGGGAAGATCCCTCCCCCTCTATTCTAATTCTATAATAATTTTAGAGTAATGTACATGTGGATTGAGTTGCTGAGTTCTTTTACTGATTATTTTTATTGAGAATGGGAAATACAGATTTATTTTTGAGACCCTCCAGTGTTCCATGCACAAGCTGGCCCAGGAGCCACTTTCTTACAGGGGTACTGAGTCGTCTTTTCAGCCTGCAGTGTTCCCTGGGTGGTGAGCGCAAGTGAGAAAGAATCAGAGGGGGAAAGGAGAGGAGTCAGTGGGGAGGGCTGGTGCAGAAGTAGGTGGGGAGCAGCATTTGTTTTAAGGCACTGGTTGGCCATCCCTCCTCTGTTTTATTCCTGGAGCAGTGAGTCCTCTTTTCGGATTACGGGTGGAAATAGTTTTATTAATTTTGTTTAACTATTTTTAAGTCCATTTGGACTATTGGGTTCTTTGGTACTTAGGTACTAAAGGGTTGCTTTTTCCCATCTCAGCAAAGATGTTTAAGCAGTTTTTATGAACATGAGTTAATCAACTTCCTCATTTCAGATTTCCTTAGTAATAAGTTTAATCACTTCCAGTATCAGATCCTCTCTGTCTCAGCAAGCAGCTCTTTTCCTATGTCGGTAATTTATCTTTCTGGTAGTGCTAAGGTCCAAAACTTGAAATATTTCCAAGGAAGTGAAAACGAAAAACATACAATGAACACAAATCTTCCTTGCTTATAAAGATATTTCAAGCCCGTTTGTTCTATAGTCATGTAAGTTTTTTAGACATGTCTTTATTATGGAGTTTACTCCAGAAGATTTTTATTGTTGGCAATTCTATCTTCTCACTATACTCAAAATAAAAACACAGCTTTTTACCATCTGAACCTCATTCTTTGAGAGGTAACCTGTAATCTCAATGATTAGGGGTCCAAAAAGTAGAGGGTTAATATGGGTTTGAATGCAGGTTCTGGCATTTGTAAATGTGTTTCCTTGGACAACTTATCTAATATCTATGCCTCAGATTTCTCATTGGTGAAATGGAAATAATATCTGCTACATGGGAGGATTTTGTGAGGATTAAGTGAGATAATGTATTGGTGGCACTTAAACAGTGTCTGACACAGTGCTCACAAACGTTAGCTGCTGCTTTTATTTTATTGTTATTATTATTCGTTGTCTTCATGAGGTTAGTCTTATCAGAAATGTATAAGCATTGCCTGGCCGGTGTGGCTCGGCAGTTGAGCATCGGCCTATGATCTAGGAGGTCATGGTTTGATTCCGGGTCAGAGCGCATGCCCAGGTTGCAGACTCGATCCCCAGCAGGGGGCCATGCTGGAGGCAGCCAGTCAGTGACTCATCATTGATGTTTCTAACTCCCTCTCCCTTCCTCTCTCTGAAACCAATAAAAATATTTTTTTTAAAAAATGTATAAGCATGTATTAGTTTGCAAGACCCACAAAGGACTAGTCCTGAGAAGTTCTAAGGAAGGAAGAAAAGAATGTGGTCCAGGGTGGATTTGGAAGAGCATAAAGCAAACAGCATTGCCTTGGGTTGCAGGGGTGGGGAACCTTTTTCCTGCCAAGGGCCATTTGGATATTTGTAACATCATTCAAGGGCCATACAAAATTATCAACCTAAAAATTAGCCATGAAAAAAACTCCTAGATTTATTGAATTTCGAGTCCCACCTGCAGTTGCCTTGGCAGGCCCAGACCAAATGATTTCACAGGCTATATATGGCCCGCGGGCCGGACATTCCCCACCCCTGGGTTAAAGTGTTGAGGTTGAAAGGGAAAAAAGAATCAGGTCAGGCGGTGATGGGGGAGACATGCCACATTTCAGAGTTTTCTTCTTAGTCTGAATTTGATATGGAAGTGTTTTAGTTTGCCCCGAAATTAGTGGGAGAAATGAAGTATGAAAATTAAATAGCAATCTCCCAGCTCCCCTTCTTCTCTGTTCCTCTAGAACGCAACCACTAAAGGTAATTCCCAAGAACACCCATTTTTGCCTATCAAGGTTATGATAGTAATAAAGTTTATAGTTACCATTACTGAAACTTCTGTGCCAGGGTCTGTGCTGTATGCTTTAGTCAACAAAAATTTTTGAGCACTTACCATCTGTCAGGCACTGTTGCTTTCAACTAATAATTATAGAGTAAATGCAGAATAAAACCCTCTCTGGAAGTCAGTGTCCTTGTCCTTCTGAGAGTGGTTAGTGTTGCTTGGAAATTGAATGGGTTTGTCTTTCCCCCCTGCCCTCTCTGAGGCCATCCTGGCTTTGTGCTCTCGCATTTTTCAGTTTGTGGCCTAGGGGAGTCTTTCCTTTCCTTTGGTCCTGGTTGGACCAATGTTGCAGGTGTAAGGGAAGAACTTCGGAAACCTATTACCATGTACCCGTGTGCAGTTAAAACAGCTGGACTTTAAATGGCCCCTTTTTAAGCTGGAAAAGAAAGGGGATTTGGAACCAGTATTGTAGGTGTCCTCATAGCTCAGGGTGGTGAGCAAGAACCTGCCAGTGTCTGGAAAAGCTTCTGCTGTCCCCTCTGCACAGGTCCCCTTTCGGGTTGGAGCGAGGCAAACACAGTGGGAAGGCCCCCCTTCCCCTACGCAGGTTCTTGGCTTGATTATTTTTTAATCCAGTCAGTATTGGCCATGTCAGTTTTGAAGCCAAGTAATATTTTGCAGGTTTTCATTTACTGAAGTGTGTTTTTGTGCCTGGAGCCTCCCAGCCTATCCACCACTGTGACTGGCCTCAGCATCCCTGAGGATTGTTGGCCTGGAGGGGACCAGGTTCCGGTCAGCAGAGCACTAAGGGGAAGCTGCCTTCTTCCTGCGGCATCACATTCCCTCCTCAGACCTGGGAACAGCTTTCTGTCCTTCCTGCCTCACTAAGGAACTGAAAAGATTAGTGACAGCTGACTTTTGTTGGCATTTGGAGTTTATAAAGCACTTTCACTGACATCGAATGTGTGTGATTCAGATTCAGGCTGAATGTTGCAAGTCCACTGATTCAACAGTGAGCAGTCAGGAAAGCAGCTCAGCCAGCGGGCGAGGGCGAGAGTGGGTTTGAGTGACTGGACGTGCACAGCTTAGCAGGCGTCTGCCAGAGGGAAGGTCGGGCCTGTGGATCTACACCCATCTGAAGGGGGATTTACTTTCCCTCTCCCGCGATGTCCTGGCTATTCAGGTGATTCCTTTTTTCTGAGAGAGATTGACCTGGGTCTTTTCCTATGACTTGCCTAGAAATTTTTCTCACCACCTCCCCTTCCATCGTTCTTACATGGGATGTTTCTTGGGATAGCAGTTGGCCCATTTTTGTTGTTGTTGTTACTTGTTTGCCTAGGGTTTCTGATAACAAATACATCTAAAAAATGAATCTCTACTCCAGAATTCTCTTCTCCCCTCCCTCCTCGCTTCCCTCTTCTCCCCTCCCGTTTCCTCCACTGTCCTCTTTGCCGTCCTCCCTCTCTCTTTTCTCTCCCACCTCCCCTTCCTTGAGGTTTCTGTCCTTAGTTCTTTCTCATGATTCCACTGGAGCAATTTGGCAAGGACCTCCTTTGACCTATTAGTGAGATTATACAACCCTAAGTGTTACCCTCTGGTTTAGTGATTCTGAAAAGTTAACGATGGTGGCGGTGGTGGTGGTTCCGTTACCATCCAGGGGCACGTTCCTAAACGTCACACGAGGCTCTCCTACCACCAGTCATTTCTTACTTAGTGGAAGGACACGTGTCATACGTCACATGTTTGTGGACAGAAAAGAAATGAGAATCATTGTTTTACGGCCATTAGCCTTGGTTTCCTGTCTATCCCTGGCACATATAAGTCATAATATTGGCTGTTCTGCTTCTTTCTAGCCCATAATACTCACAGTGAGAATAATCGCAGTGGGTTTGTGGTGTGCTTAGTGTGAAGTCTGTCCCTGTCACTGAATTTGGCAATATAATTAAGTACCATGGATTTAATAAAAAATACTGATTACTGTGTCCCAGCATACTTTTTGCTGTTTGAACATAGTGTTTATTCTCATGCTCACTTCTTGATTTGTCTTTATCTTTTTTTTTCCCCCAAAGCGTCTTGCCCGAACTGGGATCATAGTGACTACCAGCGAGGCTGTTCTGCTACAGCTGGTGGCTGATAAAGACCATCCGAAATTCAAGGAAGTTCAGAATCTGATTAAGGCTAGTGCTCCAGAGTCGGGTCTGCTTTCCAAAGTCTAGGACATCTGAAGGACTGGTGGGCCGCTCACCATCAGGCGACAGGACTGTAACCAGACAAGCCCTTGTCTCTACTAGAATTAAAATGTTAAGTCAAAAATTGGCTCTTTTTTTGCGCCTCTTAGTAAAACTTAGTAAAAATGGTCTAACATCTGGGTACCAGCATTTAGTTACAAATGTCAAAGGCTTCAGGTGCTGCTTACCTTCTTTTTTTCTTAATGTGCTCTTATTTATTTAAAAAAACTATAGTAGAGGTGCCTGTTTTGTCTATACTGTATGCATTGATCATAACTTTCAAAAGTGCACACATGTGAAGTTTTCTTAAATTCTGCACTGTAAAGAAAAAGATGTATTGACAATAGTTTGACTTTTGTATTATTGTAACACATATGTTAAAACGTTAATGTGGATTCAGTGCTTTTATTTTATAGGTTGATCGAAATAGGGTTATTACATAAGATTTAAAAACAGGACTCTGATTCACATTACCCCCTTCCCTCATAATACAGTCAGCTTATTTAGTGAGTGAGTTGCATTCATCTAACCAGACGGAATTAGGTTGGATAATTATATATCTTTCTTGATTATGCTAATTTTGTTAACCTGATCACCATCTCTAATTCTCTGTTAATGTTCTCTTTTTTAGTTGAATCTTTTCCTAGAGAGACTCGTTGGGTCATTGTTTAAAATTTGTAAACAGATGGGATGATTTGCAATCTAATGTAATTACTGGGGGGCTGTTTTAAAATCTTTGAAGTATCACTTCAGCTGAGTATCTTTACAAAAATATGGAGTATATCTTCTAATATGCGTAAGATTTAGCAAAAAGTTAAAGGCTGGATAAAATGTAGTTTTAAAACATTCATATTTTTGTTTGATATTTTCTCCACCTACCCTCCAATTATAAAGGCACCAGGAACTATTTGGTAGTATTAATTTTGTAGTCATTACTATCCTTCAGTAAATTTATTTTCATTAAAAACTTACTAGAGGGTTTTAAAACTTTTTTTAAATATTATGTGAAATATGGAACATTGCTGTCTTTTATATTAAAGTAACTAAAGAAAATGTGTTATGTGAATGAAATTATTTTGTCCCCCACAACACAGCTCTGTGATTACTATTCCAGGGATTCTAATATTTATTTAAAAGTATAAAAAGGTATAAAATTTTTGACATTTTTAATCTTTCAATTCATGGGAATTTTCAAAGAAGGAAAGTTCCTTGCAGGCAGGGGTAAATAGATTTTGCTGGAGGGCCTTCTTCATGATTCAAGAGCAGTAGAAATGTTTTTTTTGTCATTGGTAACAGACAACAACCTCACATTCTTCTTGTGGGTGTGTTTAGTTTTTTTGTATCAAAAAGAATCAAAGATTTCTTCACATTTTAAAGTAGTTTTTAATAAATTTAATTTAGTGCTTTTCAAATTTTAATATGAATGCAAATCACCTGGGGATCTTGCTAAATTGCTGACTATACCTCAGCAGGTCTGAGGTCCAGTCTGACACTTTGCATTTCCAAAAAAAAGGCCGGTTTCCACCAGTGTTATGCAGAAGGGACCACACTGAGTAGCGGTGATTTGACTAACAGCCTGTTTCCCTTCATTGCACCAGGCCCTTCAGTGAAGCCCTTCAGAGCTGAGACAAGTCTGTGACCCTGAATTAGCTTCCTGTGGCCATCATAACAAACTGCCACAAACCTAATGGCTTAAAACAACACACACTTATTACCTTACAGTTCTGTAGGTTCAAAGACTTGAAACGGGTCTCACTGGGCTAAAATCCATCTTTCCCACTAGATTGTAAGCTCTTTGAAAGCAGGACCTGTGCATTTTCTCCACTCATTCTGGAAATATATTGTGAGAACCTAATACATTTTAAATATTGTGCTGTGGGTTCAGGACAAAAAGATGCCCCTGGGGAACTTATGGCCTAGTACAAAACCTGATCTCTCATAACCTCTCAGTGCATGTGAATTGAATTAAGTCATGTCAAAGGTTCAGGAATGTCAATTCAACATTAAAGTTCAGAGGAACATCACTGGGAATTCTGCCTCCTCCCTTCTTTTTTGCAGATTATGCAAAAGCAGGGTCACAAGGCCTTATTATTATAGGAAAACTGAATTGATTTTAATACATTAGGCTTTGAATTTGAAAGTGTCTATAATTTTATAGGATAAGTTTTTTTTAACTGATGTAAATAACTTGAGAACACAAACAGAAGAATAGTGTATGGAATCGCAAGCGGGTGTTAGGAGCAGGATCAAGACACATCATTTATTGAAATGCTAAAACATCTGCAGAAACTTAATCTAAAATTAAAATAAAAGTGGTAATTTACTCTAACCAGGAAACCAAGTGCCCTGTTATATCCATTCAAATAGCACATTTCTCTAACGAGGTGGAATATTTTCCCATTTTATAAGTTGACATTGGGTAACTTTGACTTTAGAGCTGGGTGGAACTTTAAAGATCATGATCTCAAAGGCCCGTTTCAGCTGTAAAATTCTAACATGCTTTTATTTTACAAATGTGGCTAGTGAGGCCCAGAGACATGCTGTTTCTAAAACTGCACAGGTGGTTAAAGGCACAGTTTGATGAGAACCCGGTTGCTTGCCACCTGGGCCGGTACTTCCTTTCAGCAGTGGCAATGGGGAGGAACAACGCAGGGATACATTTTACAGTCTGTAAAACAGTCCGCTGTTTCACCTTAGCTAAGCTAATTGATATTCCTAGTGCTGACGGCTTTCCCTGGGCCACAATCTTCATTCTGGCCTGTCTGCTTTTCCAGTGATTATCCAACTAATCCAGGAGATTGGCTGATAACATGAAATTTTTCATTTTCATTGTCAAGTAACTACATAGCAATATTCCCACATCATCAATACCTCTTCTACTTCATTGAGCATTATTGCCACTGTTTAACCTTGATTAAAAACTTAAAATTGCAATTGGCTTTTAGAATGCTTATTTCCATGTTGCTTTATCTGTTAAGCCTGAACAGCAGACCTCTTACCAACGAAGCTTATTTTTAGAAGAGATACAAATCCAAAATGGTGGTCAAGTAAAATAACCTGCGGATTCCTATTGGAGAGGTTATCATCCTGATTTGCCTGCAGCTTGAAACAGTTCTGAAATGGCCCCCAAGGTTCCCACTCTGATGCACTCACACCTTCTCCCAGTTAATGGGCGCAGCTGCAGGGGGTTTTGCTCAGGGACTTAAGGTCTGGAATCAGCTCACCTAAGGTAGGGAGAGAGCCCTTGTGGTCTTGAGCGGATCCCGCGAGCCCTTAAAAGGGAGTGGGCGCCTCCTGCCAGTGGGATTCAGAGTGTGCGAGGGCGTCCTGGGAAGAAGGCTCCACTTCTGGCGTTAAGCTGGAGTCAAGGCTAAGGATGGTGGCAGCCAGCAAGGAAACAGAGACCCATCTTGTTCAGGGACTGAATTCAGGAACCAACCTGAGTGAGTTTGGACGCAGATTGTCCCCAGAGCCCCCAGGTAAGAACGCGTGGTACACTGACACCTCAGTTTCCTGCCTTGTGAGACCCTGAGGGGGAAGGTCATGCTGTGCCTGGGCCCCTGACCTCCAGAGCCATGAGCCAATACATTTCTCTTGTTTGAAGCCACTAAGTTCATCCTTGTAACAGGAATAGAAAACTACTAGACTTGCTTTTTCCGTTTGTTGTGTTTTTAACTTGCATTCATGCTTATATGAAGAAAAGGGGGAAGGCTGTAAGTGGGATGCCATCCAGAGAATAAAGTGTTTTAAATTCCAGTTAGCTCCTATCAATGTTTCCAGAAAAGTGGGTGGGCAGGGAAAATATGGCCTCCAGTCCACTGTGTTAATAAAACATTGTTTTATTGTAAGGTTAGCTTTTTGTATTTTTCATGGCAGAAATAGTCCTTAGAGCACACCTGTCACTTCTTAATATAATTGTTGGCTGCACAGTATTTTACCCCTCGGCTCTCAGAGTCACTTGGCTTTGGGTTTGTTCATTGTTCTTGCAGCTGCTTCCTTGTTAAATCGCTCCTCCCACTTCAGACAGTAAATGCAAGAAAGGAAAGGTGATACGTCTTAGAACCTATAGTTAATATGTGAGTACGCATTTTAGCATATTGAATACGCGCAGCTTTGAATTGGGCTTCTGGAAAACGCATATTGTGCTTTCAAAACAGCCTGTTAGGCAGCCCCAGCTAAAAATGTGAGATACTTTATAAATTGTTGGAAATGTGGATATTTTCTCCAAGAAATTAAGACCCTAGAAAGAAAACATGAAACACATGAATGAAGACGTGGGTGTAAATTGTTAGCCACTACCCATATGTTACTGTATTTTGGCTGTATCGTTTGTATGCCAATGAGTAAGTGGTTTATTCTTTTGGAGAATTTGGCAAAATTTAAATATGCTGTGTCCCATGCAGTCGGTATTGAATTTCAGCAATTTATTCCTGCAGGTAGACAGCATGGTTTAGATATAACTGTGTGTGTCTATCATATGCGTATCTACATATACCTTTCCTTTCAAGTTAAAATAAATGGTTGGGCCCCTGGCAGGTGTGTCTTGGTTGAGCATCTTCCCATGAACCAAAAGACTGCGGGTTTGATTCTCGGTCAGGGCACATACCTAGGTTTTGGGTTTGGTCCCCAGTAGGGGTGTGTATGGGAGGCAACTGATTGATGTCTCTCTCTCCCTCTGCCCCTCTATCCCTTTCTCTCTGTAAAATCAGTAAAAACATGTGTGTGTTTTTTAATAGTTGGGCTTGTCTGGCCGGCGTGGCTCAGTGGTTGAGCATTGACCTACGTACGATCCAGAGATTGCTGTTCAATTCCCGGTCAGGGCACATGCCCGGGTCTCTGGCTCGATCCCCAGCTGGGGGCGTGCAGGAGGCAGCCGATCAATGACTCTCATCACTGATGTTCCTTTCTCTCTCTCCCTCGCCCTTCCTCTCTCTAAAATCAATAAAAACTTTTTTTAAAAAAAATGGTTGGGCTTGTTGGTGAAGGGAGTTGGCAGGAAGGAAGGGAGGAATGGAAGGTTTTCCTTTTCCCAGCGGAGAAGGAGCCAGCGGCTCTGTGATGCACTGTGTGATTGAGAGCTTTGAAATGACACACCTGACTCCGTTCTCAATAGCTTGGGTACTTGGGGCAAAGTTCATCTCTCAAGGTTACCAGCTGCATAAACAGCACTGGGAAAGGGCCTTGAAGACACCCAGCTAGACATGTAGGGGAGCACGAAACTGAAGGGGGGCACTGTATCTCCCAACAGACATCAGTGTCCTGTGGTGGGAAGGGCAGGCCGCAGGGCTCTGGTTCGTTCCCAGTTCTCTCTGCAGCAGCCCTGAAGCCCTTCTGAGAGATCCCTGAGTTTTCTCATACAGGAAATAGAGTTGGATGAGATGATAGAAATAATTACCCCTTCATCTAGATACTAGGTGTTACACTTTTCTGAAAACCATTATTTAAAGTAAGATTTACAGGTTGCCTATGGCTAAAAATTGAGCCTGGAAATTTTCACATAACCAAGCAACACAAATGTAGTATGCCTGATGGCTCTCAAGTGCTAAGTGGATTCTATAGAAGACAATATGAATCATTGTAATCATTTGATCAAGGATGCCCTATATAATTTAAAAGGAAACTATCTTAGAAAATGCAAATACGATTGTGAATGCATAACTTAGACATATTTCCTCACTTTCTCTCTTTGATAACCATAAAAAATCCAATGCTTGAGTAAGGCATAAGGATGTTGTAAACACTTAAAAATTATCTTTATGGAATGTCTAGATAGCTTAGAGATATTTTAGATTGACTGCATCGTTTGAGATAGGTGTTTTTTTCCAAGAACAAATGAATAAGAGCTCATTGCTTTGTCTTTTGAAATGCATTGTATAGCTTTTTATTTTAGATATCAAAATCTATGAATAAAAATTTGCTAAATAGTACTACTATGTTTAGGTCAGCTTGATTGGTCGAATCTTCTCAAAATAGGTTTAGCATGTCCTCTTTATCCTTTTAAAAATTTCTCTATTGAATGATCTAATAAAAATATAAATGAAAGACACTTAGGA